CTCTCTCTCTCTCTCTCTCTCTCTCTCTCTCTCTCTCTCTCTCTCTCCCTCCCTCCCTCCCTCCCTCCCTCCCTCCCTCCCTCTCTCTCATACATGAGAAGCATTTGGTGCCATCTGGAGGACTGAACAAGATCTACAATTTAAATACTTTTAAAAAGGCACCACGGTGTAGTACTTGAATGTTGTATTCTAACTCAGAAATCTCCAAGCTTGCCAACTTTTAACTTTTCCCGTCCCTCTGATTAATTGTTTTAGCTGTCAGGAAGTTTCTCCTTAATTCCAGGTTGCATAAATTCATTCTCTTTAATTCCAAGGCTGCAACTGATCCAGGTTGGAACAGTTTCCATCCACTGCTGCTTATACTGCTTTCAGGTGCTTTGGAGAATAGTCAACCCACTCTTCTTCGTGGCAACCCCTGAGATATTGAAATGCTGCTATCATGGTCGCCCCAGTCCTTCTTTTCGTGAAACTAGACTTACCCAATTCCAGCAAGAGTTCTGGAAGAGCGAATGATTGAAATGTTTTATGGTTTCAGATCTTGTGGACTTTCTCCATCTACTTGGAGTCCGTGGCAATTCTTCCCCAGCTGTTTATGATCAGTAAAACTGGAGAAGCGGAGACCATCACTACTCACTATCTCTTCTTCCTGGGCCTCTACCGTGCCTTGTACCTTATCAACTGGATTTGGCGTTACTATTTTGAGGAATTCTTTGACCTCATAGCCGTGGTGGCCGGGGTAGTCCAGACCATTCTGTACTGTGACTTCTTCTATTTGTATGTTACAAAAGGTAAGAGACACACAGTAACACACATGGTGACAGTGTTTCTGAACCTTAGCAACTTTAAGATGAGTGGACTTCAGCTCCCAAAATTCCCCGGCCAGCACAGCTGGCTGGAGAATTCTGAGAGTTGAAGTCCACAAGTCTTAAAGTTGAAAAAAAAAAAAACAACCCACTGTATTACGACCTATAATGTAGCATCTTTCCTCAAATTGACAGCTTAGGGTGGCATTGAACTCCAGCTTCCATCGTTCCCTGTGGCTGCAGAGGATGCTGGGAATTATAGTCCTGCTCACCTACAGGGCACCACGATGGAACAGGGAAATCTAGATCCCTACAGTATGTTTCCATGATACCTTATATGGCTCACTCTAAAACTTCATCAAAGCAAGAATGGGCGTAGACCAGTCTTTCTCAACTTTTGCAACGTTTAAGACGGGTAGACTTCAGTTCCCAGAATTCAGCTGGGTGGAGGATTCTGGGAGTTGAAGTCCACCCATTGTAAAGTTGGTCTAGACTTTTCTAGATCTTTTCAAAGGCAATAAAGACTCTAGGGTTCTACCCCCAACGTCTCCTGTTACCTCTCTACAACTTTATAGGACACGGTTCTTCTGTGACAAAATACTGTTTCTGAAGACTGCAATTTAAAAAATAAACCCACATTAACCCCAAATCAATCAATCAGAGAGAAAGGTTGGAAGATAGTTTACACAGCTAAATTTTCCTTCTGTTTTGGGGTTCTTGTGTGCATGCAAACACAGTACAAGTCTGGATTTTGAATGCAGCACATCGGAATGCATACAAGGTTTGCATGAAAGTAGCTTGGAAATGGGTGGGTCTTTGCGGACTTTGGTCTGGTCACTCTCCTTCTACCTTGTCATCCTACAGGTCTGTTAGGATTGGGAGGATCTAGGATTAGACTGGGAGGTACATCTCCATAAGTTTAACCCCCTAGGTAATTTGAATATTTTCCTGTTCCCCTCCATGTCCCCAAGGTGCTTTTTTCAAGAGGCAGCTGGACTTTCTGGTTTTTCTCTGAAGACATTTCGCTTCTCATCCAAGAAGCTTCTTCAGCTCTGAGAAGCAAAGCTTCTTGGATGAGAAGCAAAATGTCCAGCTGCCTCTTGAAAAAAAAAGTATCTTTGCGACAACCATGACCTGAATGACTGAGAATCTCCACAGAGGTTTCCCTCAGTGCATTTTTTTAAATAAATTGCAGCTGCAGAATGACCTGACTTCTAATCTCGGGTACCTGTATGTTTCCTATAGAAAGGGATTGAGTGGGTACAATAATTTTTTCAGAAGCCTAAAATTACCCTCTTTGCAAATGTTGAGGGTGCAGTGAATGCCTTCCTGCATACAAAATGTGATAATAGAACTGGTTTTGCAGGTTGGGTGGCTTCATTATATATTTAATTCCGCCAGGCATACCAATAATCGACGGGCAGGGGTGTATTTTAAAAGGGAAGAAAATGCAACACCTTAAGACGTGTTTGCTTGACAAAAGCTTAGTCCCAAATGAAAATTGGGACTGAGATCCTGACACCCCAAAATTGGCCCGTTTTAGAAAGCTGAAAAAATTCAGACGAATAAAGTAGGTTTGATTTTTGGCGGGCACGTCTCTTCCATCCTGCAAGCCGGAATATGTATCCTCAACCTCTCAAATCAGCATAATTATCCTGGTTGATGAGCAAGGCTTTGACAGAGCAGCTGGTTCAAGATTTTACTCATGAAATTCAATTAGTGGCTGCTAAGCAAAGGTGACCTGTAATTTTTATTCAATTATCCACTGCATATCCTTTCTATTTCCTTCTGGCTCCTCTCTATAGCTTACAGTGAAGGCTTTTGTTTGTTTGCAATGAAAATAACAGGCAGTTTTCATTTAACAAGTAGGATTTGCAGCATTTGCTTACAGACTGCTACAAAAAAAGTTGTAAAATTTGGTCAGTCATGCTTGTTGACTGGCCTGGCTTATGCCTGTAATTCCAAACATAATTGCGGCATAACTTGAAGACCCCCTGTAGAACAGAATCTCCCTGTCCTAAGTCACTTGAAGACTACTTCTACAAGAGGATTTCCCTGTCGTAAGTTGAGGACTACTTATAGAAGAGAATTCCTCTGTCGTAAATCAGGGATTAACTGCATGAGAGAATTCCCCTGCTGTAAGTTGAGGAGTACCTACAGAAAATAATTCCCCTGTTATATAAGTCAAGGATTACCAGTAGAATAGAATTTCCCTGCCGTAAGTCAGGGACTACAAGAGAATTCCCATCAGAAGTCAAGGACTCCCAGTAGAAAAGAATTCCCTGTTGTATGTTGAGGATTACTTACAGAAAATAATTCTCCGGTTATAAGTCGAGTAGAAGAGAATTCCCCTGTCATAAGTCAAGGGCTACAAGAGAATTCCCATCATAAGTCAAGGACTTCCTATTGAAGAGAATTTCCCTGTTGTAAGTTGAGGACCACCTACAGAAAATAATTCCCCTGTTAAGGATTATCAGGAGAAGAGAGTTTTCCTGTTGTAAGTTGAGGACCACCTACAGAAAATAATTCCCCTGTTAAGGATTATCAGGAGAAGAGAGTTTTCCCGTCATATAAGTCAAGGACTATAAGAGAACTCCCATCATAAGTCAAGAATTACCATTCGAATACAAGGGAATTCCCATCATAAGTCAAGGACGACCCGAAGAAGAGAATTCTGTTGTCAGTTGAGGACTCCCTGCAGAAAATAATTCCCTTGTCATAAGTCAAGAGTTAGCAATAGAAGAGAATTTGTCGTCAGTTGAAGAGTACGAGGGAACTCCCATCCTACGTCAAGGACTTCCTGTGGAAGAGAATTTCTCCTGCCGTCGTGCTACGCAAACCGTGACCATCCTTTAGATTGGGGGGGGAAGGGGGGGAAGCTTGGATATCTGTGTTAAACTGACCTTGTTTTTTTTTTTTCCTTCTTTCTTTCCTGTCCGCCCCCCAGTGCTCAAAGGGAAGAAGCTGAGTTTGCCAGCCTAAAAGTGCCAAGGATGCTCCATCCTGGATGCGTAGAGAGAGAACAATCCCGACCATCGAGAGGTGGAAGATGCTTGAACAGATGGCCTCCCGCGGGGGGGGCGGGGAGGGGGCTTCATAGGTCCAGAGAACCAAATGACTTCTGTTGGATGCATCTTGCCTTTTTTTTCCCACGCCCCCCCCCTCCCTCCTCTCTTTTTTTATTACTATGTATAAAGATTTTTTACACGAGAGAAACTTAAGACCGTGTGGATTTAATTCAGCGTGTAGTTTCAAATCGGAGTAGTTCCAAAAAACACAGTTTTGGGGTTTCTTTGGGGTGGGTGGGGGGATTTGTGGGATCCTTGGGGGAATCGGCGCAAAACCACTTCTATTTTCCAAAAGATTTCCTGTCAATTGCTGAATGATTTTTGGCGCACGCAGGCCTGGGCTGATTGACGGATGGTAACTGCCTCCCTCTTTCCTGGTTGATTTCAAATTTCATTCCGCTGTATTTATTGTTCCTTTCGTTCCCCTCGCCCTCCAAACCTGCGTAGGCTGAAATCCAAAATAGCGTTGTCGGAAAATGCTCGTGGGAAAGGGTGTCACAGTTTCAGAAATACCTTCAATTACTCGGTTTGCTTTTTATCCTTTCCATAAAAAGATGCTCCCGTAGGTAGCGTCTATTAGATAAATGCTCCCCTCCATTTTTCTTCACCTGAAGACACGAGTTAAGACTGGTTTTTTTTTTTTCACAAGGTTTTGGGGTCCGTCTCCCTCCTAATATAACGGTTTTGCATCAGCCATTCCTGTTTGCATGTGCCCTGGTCAGCCTAAAATTATTCCGCAATTTTTGGAGGGTTTGTGTGTGTATTTCTAAACATTTTCTATTGACAGCAGCCACCCCTGCAATCATCGTCCAGTTGAAGTCATCCATAGGTGGCAAATTTTTAACAGTGTCTCCCATCTTTTTTAATACAGAATCCTTTTACAAAGTAAACCATCTTTGTTTAGCTTTTCCAGCAATTTTAGAATGTGCCAGTTTTTGAACGATCAATTGTTCCTTTTATAGACTTGTTCCTGAATCGGCCGCACCGAATCCTGTTCTCTAGCTTTCCTTTCTTTTTTTTTTTTTAAACTGAACTCTGTTGCATGATTTATCCTGTGTTACCATCCTCAATAAACTTTTTTTGAAGTGGTTCTCCGTTGTGGTCTCAAACGATGCCCCCCCCACCGGGAACGCGGTTGCTCTCCGTGAATTTGCTGTCACTT